CCACTAAGCTCCACTACTGAACATGCCCTTCCTTGGACCACCACAGTTTGAAAATTATATCTGTATGGTCATACCATATAGTACTCTTTTCATGGCAACTACTTAGTGTTCCATACTGTATGTTTTTTGTCGCAAGTAAGTAGTGGTAGTATGTTTTCCTAATATTTAACGTACCTCCTTGGTACTTTGAATGCTTTCTAATGTTTATAGTACAAGCGAAGTTTGGAGTAATTCAATTGATCCTTTCCCATTTGAACATGTTCTCGCAATGTCTTAGCTGGGTAGTAGTATTCTCTTGAAGATTCCTTGCGGTGAAACTAACAGAAGGCAGGCATCCGTTATTGCCAAAACTAATTACTACTCTTATACATGCAAGGTGGTGGACATAGCTGCTTCTGGGATAGTGACGAAGCAAGATTAAGGTCGGAACGAATGAAGTTTTGGGGGAAGGCTGTGGACATAGATGAACTATGTGGAAAGGATGATGCATGGTGGGGTGTCAGAGGTTACATGCGTGACAATTTCAACCATAGCAATGAGGCCATCTCACACAAAGAGCATTTCCAGAACAGCAGGCTTGTTGAATCTGTGTTGGATCTGTATTGGGAACTACCTCCTGTTGCTGGGCCGTCCTTAACTCATCAGACAAGATATGACCCAGCCCGCGCTTCTGATCCTATCATTGAAGATGGACGCCATGGCTTGTTTCAAAGAATTGGCCTGAGTAGATTGGACGCTTCAGTGTTCAACGGTTACACTCAGATGGCATACGTTCAGATATCAGGCACAATGCTCAGAAGAGAGGATGATTGAAGGCTTTGTTTCACGGGGCTTAATTTTACGCTAACTGAACAGCCATCTGTTGGTAGGTTTTTGTATAAGGTTTGCACATGGTCTTGGTTCTTATTACTTTAATTCAGTATAACTTGTGGCACTTTGCAGAGGTTATAAAACCAATGCAAGTTCTCGTTTTATTCCCTGAGATATTTCTAGGTAGAACAGATCTGATTATAGATGTGTGAGTTTCATGCCCGCATGATATGGTGGAAAGAGAGGTTGTTTTCTGAGTGGTACTCTGTAGCCTAATCTTATTAATGCTGTTGGTCATAAACAAATACAACCTTGAAGGAGCATTTTGAAAAGTTAGACCCACCCGCTGACATATTGGTTGTAATAATATCTTATATTATGGGACGGAGGGAGTACTTCATTCTAAGATCACTTTCTCAACGAAAGAGTAATTAGACACAGTTCTGAGAACCAAAGAATTAGCTGTATTTTTTTTTCTACAACAGCACTGGTATAAGTTCTATACAATCTATGAATGTTTGCATAACCTGTGGCCTCTGTTAACACAATCCCCGTTTGTCAGCGGTTGTAAGCCTAGTTTCCCTAGGTAATGTTACCGAGCTTACAGCATTGCCATAAGGAAAATAGTTCTCACGAAAACGCTTTAGGCCAAGAGCCATTGAACACGGCCAGCTCCATGCTGCACACACCCCCAAAAATTGCATACTTGTTTCCTCTTTCTGCACTTCTTTTTTGAGGGAAATTTTCTTTCTACGCATGGATCTCCAGCGTGTGAGCATGAGAGCATCGACAGTTCTGGGGCAAGCAGGTCGTGGAAGACCGCAACCATCACAGATCCTAGTACGAGTGCACGAGCAAATAACGAACAGAGGGCCATCACCATCGCGGAGCCGCCATCGTCATCTCTGCAGCGGCTATTTCATCTTCACCAGTTCTTCTGCACGAAGGCTCCAACGACCACGCCCAAGCACGCCGCTGCTACTCCCTCCGTTCAGAATTACTTGTCTCAAAAATGGATATATCTAGACGTATTTTAATTCTAGATATATCCATATCCGAGACAAGTAATTCCGAACGGAGGATTACTTCCGGCGGCAGGCCGAACAGAGCAGAGCAAGTACGCAAGTAACCATATGGCCGGTCGGTGAATCAAGGGCCACCAATTCATGTCAGGTCCGGACTAATATGCATATGCATCTTTCATTTTGAAATGGATAACCCAGCCTCTGCATCATTGTGATGCACATCCTTCATGGGAACATGAATCTACCCGACCACTTGATTCCTAACTGGATCGAACCTTGCGCCAATTCAACTTCAACAGCAGATCTGTTAAGTTATATCTCTTTCGATGTAGTTTTGGTGATTGATGACAACATGTTTGCGGACTAATCGTGTGCTTTGAGTATTTCAAAGATTCATCCTTTGGCACGAGACGATTCGTTTCTCTCGAGTTTTAATCAAGACGGTGTAGCTCTTTCGTTTCTGTTTTGGTGGACTTGTTTCATAGGAGTCACCGTACTATCAAGAGGGGGTCCGCTTTGGTAAGGCTGGGGTGGAATCAATACGTACACATCCTTTTCACACCCTCTGAGCCTTCCCGCTTCGATGGAGGTTTCATTTCCTTTTTTATGAGTATGATTTGGTCCCAGCGGTAGTACCGCGGTGCCCAGCGGTAGTACCGCCTGTGGGTCCTCAGCCGTAGTACCGCTGCGGTACCGGGCTCCTACCGCGTCGACTCGAGGGGGTCGCCTCTCGTGTCGGATTGTGCGGCACTAAGCAACGACAGTAGAAGCGGTAGTACCGCTCGGGAGCGGTAGTACCGCCCTACCACCGCGGCAGTACCGCACTAGGTCTGACTTCTGCTCATACGCTAGCCCTCCCAGACTGCACGACAGTACCGCGAGGGGAGCGGTAGTACCG